AAGTTGAAAAGATAGTACAGAGTTCTTGTGTGTATTTCACCAGCTTTCCCCTATCATTAACATCTTAATTAACTGTGCATAGTTGTCAAAACTAAGAAATTAACATTGGTACAACATTAGAAATAAGCAGCTGATTTATTTGGATTTTTATCAGTTTTTCCACTAATGTTGTTTTTCTCTTCCAGGATCCAATCTAGGATACTACATTGCATTTAGCTAAGTGGTTTATAAAATTCCTAAACTGTTTTTTTTTTGTTTGCAATGATATTTTAAGAAAATATTTTTGCTGCTTATAGTGAAAAGAAAACCTTATTTCAGTTTGTTTAATTATGTCTAGAATAAAAGCAATATGTCTTAGCTGCTAGCTATAAGAATCTATGAATTATTTTTAAGGTTAAGTTTTTTTCTCTTATATTGTTTATTACTTGCTCTATTCATTCACTTGGCATTTCTTCAAAATTTATGCAAAAAGTAAACATTAACATTGCTTGTGTTTAGATTGACAAAATGCTTCCTCTGTTCATATTCATGAACAGAGGCTACATGAATATTGCTCCCACATAGTTCAGTTCCTGCAGTGCATCGACCTGTTGTCATCACGCCATCTGACAATACAATGGAAGAGAATAATCTCCCCTTTGTTTGATACTGTAGCTCAAGGAGTAACAAGGAGGTCTCTGAGAGGAAGCCTTCATTTTATCTTGATCACACAGCAAATAGAGAAAATATGATCACGTAGTTCTCCTGAGATTCTAGCCTAACCTCTGCAGCAGGCTGCCTGGGGAAGAATACTTTCCCTGGCTTCCTTCACTAACAAATCAGATCTCTAAGATCACTAGTGATACTAGAGCTTCCTTGCTGTGAGATTCTGCCAGGCCAATGGGGAAATCTTGGAACATCCATCTGATGGGACATATGATTGAGATCATTAAAAACTGTATGTGTTTGAAGATTTCTGTAAAACACAATTTATCAGGTAAAACACACATATTTACATAAGTTAATCACTGTTCTGGGAAAAAGTTATACACAAATGGAGAAAAAAATGGAAAGGAAATATACCAAAAATATTCATTAACAGTTACCTTTTCCTGAGTGATGGACTAAAACCTGGCTTTCATTTTATTTTTGAAAACCCTGCAGCATCTCCAAAATTTCTATAGTGGACATAAAAAGTAATGAAAATAAAGAAAAAAATAATGTCATGGTTTAAGGAATAAAATAAAACAAGGTTTTACTAATGATATAAATATTACTCTAATAGATTATCTGGAGTGTGTGTGTGTGTGTGTGTGTGTGTGTGTGTGTGTGTGTGGTACTGGGGTTTGAACCTAGGGCCTTGGGCATGTTAGGCAACTCTTCTACCAGTGAGTTTCATCCCTAGGCCTTTTTTTATTTTCTTGCTATGTTGTCCAGGCTGGTATCTAACTTGTGATCCTCCTGCCTTGGCCTCGAGAGTGGCTGAGATTATAGGCATGGGCCCTGCAGATTATCTGCCTTTTTGATGTCCTTGATAGATTGTGGCTCCCTCTCAAAAAGTCACCCAGCACACTTCCATTCAGAAGCTATTGTGAGGATCAGACAAATCAAGTGAGTAGAAGTCTGCTCAGGAGCTGGGGCTGTATCTCAGTGGTAGAGCACTCACCTCACACAAAGTGAGGCGCTGGGTTCGATCCTCAGCACCACATAAAAATAAATGAATAAATAAAGACATTGTGTCCATCTGCAACTAAAAATTTTTTTTACAAAAGAAGTCTACTGAGAAGCAAGGAACTCTTTGCATTAGCAAAAAAAGAATCGCATCAAATATAACTATCACTGGAGAGATGTTGGTCAAAGGACACAAAATTTCAGTTAAACAGGAGATATTAGTACAAAGGGTCTATTATACAACATGATGACTATATGTGGTGTACAGTTAATGTATTGTATATTCAAAACGTGCTGACAGAGTATAATTTAAGAGTCCTCACTACAAACAAATAATAAATGTGAGGTAATTCATATGTTAATTAGCCACATTAGCCATTCCACAATGTACTCATATTTCAAAACATCATATACTATATCATCAATATATGTACTTTTTGTTAATTAAAAAATAAGCAATAAGAAAAAAATACAATGGACTGTCTTGTATGTGCCACATATACAACACTGAAGGCTTTGCAAGTTTTTGTCATTTGGTTTAAATAACAAAATAAGAGTAAAAATTAGAGTTAACATATCTTAGGCTCAAAGCCATGCATATGGCCCTTTTCTTCCAAATGCACATCTTGGGAGGTCTCTAGCTAAGCTGTGGCGTCTGCACTGTGCCAGGGCCCTGCACTAAAGCCAAGGGCGTCGTTGTTTTCAAAATGAGAGTGGCTGAGTGATTTGAGAACTGGGATTTGAATTTTTAGTGGCAAGAGGCCTGAATTATTTCAGAGTTTAACCTGGATCCCATAAAATCCTTCTCCAATTAATCCATGCCCCCCAAAGTTGGTGTTGTCAATGTTTGAGTAGTCTCCTTTTGAATGTACTTTTGTGGAGTTCTCTGGCCCCTGATAACTGTGCTTTGTTCATTATAAATCCATCACCCTCCAGTCGACTGTGGTGCAGAGTGTATGCAGCAAAATGACTCCCAGGGGCTCAGAATCATTGAAAGATCTTTTCAAAGGGAATTGATGAGTCAGGGATAAGGTGCCAGCTGGATTTCCATTCTGAGTTAAAATACCCAAAGGAGCTTTGAATATTTACATTCCAAGCTTTTGCAAAAACACTAGACACAATTCAAAACCTCATATTTATTTTTGGAAAAAAAGGAAAATTAGGTGAATAATTAAAATGGGCTGAAAATTGCATTAAAGGCAGAAGCATAAATTAATATTTGGAATGAGGTTGAATACTTATCTGCCAGATTCACTTTCTCCACTATGCAATTTTGGAAAGAGGGGAAGGAAAGTGGAGACAAATTACTTTGTTTGAAGCATGAAAACCAGGCTGTTGCTCTCTGGGCAACATCTTTAGCTACTTTTTTCCTGTGTGTGTGGGATATATAGCAATTTTGCAGTACATTTCTGTTACAATCACTACTCATTTTGACAGGTACTATATTCTATGTGCAGAAAACAGTTATTTTTCCTAATTCCAAGGAAATGTCTATGTTTTTAATAGGAATTGAGTATAAGAAACATCAGTACAGTCATAGTCAGTGGTTAAATACTGTAAGATTGATGGATTTTAAAACAGCAATTTGTACAACAAAACTTAAGTGGGTAAATCTGAATTTCTACAACAAAGAAACCAAAATCATTATCATTTAAGGTGAAAAGTTATGAAGCAATATGTAGCTATAGTTAAATAGAAAATCTCAGGACACTGTCTCTCAGGAGATTGACTAACTAGGACTCTATCTTTCAATGTCAAGAGTCTAATAAATTAAAATCTGCCAAGAAAGACCGATCACTCTACCACAGTTGATGTTTTGATTCTGTCAGCAGGGCAGCTGAATAATATTCTTGAGGTTTCATTCTTCTAAGACAAGATGTTAAAGACTATTCCATTCTTTGCATTTCAAAACAGTTTATGTCCAGTTTAAATTGTCTCAATCTCTCAAGTTTTCCGAAACCCCCAAATAATCGTAGCCTCTGGTTTTAACACAATCTAAATCTAAATTGAAGAGTTTTAGGGCAAATATATTCATCACTTATATGCGTATGTGTATTCACACTTTTCTACATTGTTCCCATTTCAACTCAACATAATGTTCATTTACATGTGTCCACTATTGGCAGCATCCAGAGAAATGATCCAAGATAAGGCAGCTGGCCAAGATCAGGGAGCTGACTGGATTAGTTTTCTATTGTTGCATTTAAAAATCACTACAAACTAGCCACCTAAAACAACATCTATTAATCATCTCACAGCTCGGTTGGTCAGAGTCTGGGTGAGCTCTTCTGGGCCCTGTGCTCAGGGTCTCAGAAGACTGAAATCAAGCTGTCAGCAGAGCTTTGACCTCATTTGATCTTAGAGTTCATTCAGGCTTCAGGCTGTTGGTAGAGTCCAGTGTTGTTTTTTGTTTTGTCTTGTCTGTATGAGGAATTAAACCCAGGGTGCTTTACCTGAGCTAGACCCCTAGTCCTTTCTATTTTTTATTTTGGGGCAGGTTCTCCTTAAGTTGTCAAGGCTGGCCTCGAACTTGTGATCTTCCTCCTCAACAACCCAAGTTTCTGGGATTATAGGTGTGCACCACCATGCCCAACCAGAATCCGGCTCTGTGTGTTATAGGATGGAGGTCCATATTTTCCTCCCAATTATTGGCCATAAGTTGCTCTGAACCCCTCAAGGCCACTCACAGGTCCTTAGCATGTGGCACCTTCTGTCTTCAAAGCCAGTGATTCTTGTGCTTCAAATCATTCTGATTTCCCCTTCTGCTATCAGCCGGAGAAAACTCTGCTATCCAAGGGTTCATATGATTCAACCAGGGACACCCAGGTAATCTCTCTTTTGGTCAACTGGAAGTCAATTGATTAGTAAGCTTAATTACATCTACAAAATCCCTTCGGCAAGCAACATCATAATCATAGGGTAACATCAGAGGACAGACAGACTGAAGGCCATCTTAGGTGTGTCCTACAATGCTCTCAGAGTCAAGAAATCTAAGAATTCCCATCATCTAAGGGCTGGTTAGATCTGTTAACTTTGTGCTCTTACAGCCAGCATGATTCAAAGATAGGATTCTAGATACCTCTTATGCCTTGGCCCCTAGCTGGTACCATTCCCACTCTCTTAGGGCATAAAAGCCTTATTTAGGGCCAGAAAAATGCTAAGTAGTCACTCATACTTAATAGAACAACTTCTATGTGTCTATTCCAAGGAAATGTAGGTGCTATTCCCAGAAAAAGTGACCCTGTGTGATGGCCAAGTGAGAGACATGTGACAAGGTATGTGCTCTGGCTTCTGCAGCTGGCTGGGTTTCTCACTGAAGGTCACAACTCTGCTTCATTGTGTCATTCCAGACTCGGAGGGCAATGACCATGAAGTCACTCCTGAGGGCACTGGCGAGCATGCCACCCCACTACCGTTTCCTCTGCATCAGCCACCTCATTGGATGGACTGCCTTCCTGTCCAACATGCTCTTCTTCACAGATTTCATGGGCCAGGTAATGAACATGTCCATGCACACACTCATTGACCCACATCAACTCTTCAGTCAGCAGTTGTTGAGCTTCTTCTGCATTAGCCAAGAGTAAGAGTACAGGAAAGAGTACCTTCCAGGAGGTGGCTTTCAGACAAGGAAGCAGCAGCTACTGACACTAGAAAACACCATGAGACCTGCTAGCATTTGATCCAATACCAGGGAAAACCAATGTGTCAGCTGGAGAGATCATGGCTGATTTCATAAAGAAGGCACAATATGATCTGGGCCTTGGAAGAGGAGTAGGAGTTCCAGAGACAGAGGAGGGAAAGGAAGCCCTCGGAGCAGGAATAGCCAATGGCAAGGGTGGGTGTCAGGGTTGCCTAAGTCAGGTTGGGGCCAGATGTGCAAGGGTGTTAAGATGCAGGGGATTGTTGTTTAGACTGGATGCATAAGAGTTAGACTTCCTGAGGTCCTTAAAGGAAGGTGTGATGGGATCTGACTTGGTTGAGATAGAATGCACTCTGTGTCCTAGGAAGGACCCCCTGGACTGGGTCATGTCATTTGGGCAGGGGTAGAAAAGCAGAATGCATGAGAAGAGGACCCTATCTCACTGCATTTGTAGCTCAACAGCCCCACACTTCTCTTTCAGATTGTGTATGGCGGGGATCCCTACAGCACGCACAACTCCACAGAGTTTCTCATCTACCAAAGAGGGGTCGAGGTTGGCTGCTGGGGCTTGTGCATTAACTCCGTGTTTTCTTCACTGTATTCTTGTAAGTCTCCCTCTCCTGGGGGTGTCTTCTAAGGGGCTCTGGCTTAGCCAAATTCAGATTTTGTACTTCTGTATCTATTATTTTCTTTAAAATTTCAGATTTTTGACAAATATATGGAGGTCAGGAAATACTGTTCCCTTAGCAAGGAGCATATGAAGTATCCATGTTCATAGGGAATTCCAGGTGTCGTTTCCCTTAGTGGTTACTAAGTACTTAGAATCAGTGGATTCTTGATCAAGATTTTCTGGAAAATAAAGGGGAGTTTCAAACAAGATGACGACATGCTGGATGGGAGAGACATGGACTCCCAAGAGGTCCACGTTCTACCAGTGAAGTTTTATAAAATACTTGTCAGATTTGCAGAATGCACAAAATAGAAGGGATGATTAATATGATAGGTGATGAGCAACCTGGAAAATAACCTCAGCTCTCTGAAGTACAGGGTGCTATGCTATGGGAGCACTGCCCCAACTTTGAGAACAATTGATCTTCCCCCTCAGATTCCAGCTTTGCATTGGATCTTGAGCTTCTGGACCAAGTTTGGAAGACAGAACAAAGGGATTTCTGCCACTGATTTTAAATAAGACCAGACTAATGTGCTGTAACTCCAGGGTACGACACAGACTCATTTTGTCTTTGGTCACGTAGATGGCAATCTCCAGCTCTGTAGACGCTGAATTAAGTGAAAAGTCTTGCCTGCAATATCTGGAGTGGAAATTTGACTCCTAATAGCAAAGAGCTCTTCTCACTCCTCTCTGCTCCTCCAGGGTAGGGAGGGGGAAAGCTGACCTCCAATCAGAGCTCCAGATTTGGGACAGGCTCAGGGGACAGCAGAGGTGTGGCCCAGGTTAGGGAAAGGGAAAGAGATGAAGGGAGCCCCTGTTACCATTCTCAGGGGCACACACTCAGTCATTGAATCCTGCGTCTTATAGGGGAAAATGTTGAACCCACTCCCTGTCCTTCAGTTTACCATAACACAGTGGGGAACCAGATTCAAGATCACTTAAAAATTTGGTGTAATGAGGAAGAGGGGGCCTAATATAACAATTAAGGAGTTTGTAAGACGAATAATCAAACAGCCATAAAATTCATTGTCTTAAAATTTAAGGTAGTCAAACAGTGGTGGCTTGCAGCTTACATTTCTTTAGCAAACACTTTTGTTTCCCTGTGAGTGTGGGAACTCAGGGAAATTCCAGGTGGAAGCTTTCAAATACTTAAAATGTAATCAGACAGTGATAGGCCAAAAGGGTCTAATAAATTATTCATCTGAATTCTTTTGTGATTTCATGGGTGAGGGGTGATTTCCTAGCCCCCCCCCCACATTCTTGTAAGAGGAACACAATTTTCTATGTGTAATTAGTGTTCTAATTTGGTGTCGACTTTCATTTTATCCCCTCAAGGAATTCCCACTAGGTACAATTCCATCAGTCTGGTTTGACTTCCTGTATGATTTCATGGCATTTGAAAAATTTAAAAGCATGTTATTTTTAGGTCCTTTCTTTTTAAAAACTATTTTTATGCCTTTGTTTTATGTATTTATCTTTATGTGGTGATGAGGACTGAACCCTGTGCCTCACATGTGCTAGGCAAGCGCTCTACCACTGAGCCACAACCCCAGCCCCTCTAGGCCCTTTCTAATTAAAAGCCTTATTATGAAGAAAACTATCATTTGAATAGTATTCTAAAGTTCATTAATGTATGAATTTATGATATCCCTACCACTGTAAATTTGAGCCAAAATTTTATTTATAAAATACCAGCTGGCCCAGCTCAGGGACTCTCCCACGACCCCAGAAAAGTCCAAGTCCCTCAACTTGGCATTCAAAATTTTCAGATGGGCCCAGCTCACCCTCCGACCCCTCCAGCTTCTACATGAATTGATTACTCTCAATGACACACCCCAGGGACTTTGTTGTCTCTGTGAGTTTGTCAGTGCTTCTAATTTCTTTTACCTGAACTTATACTTCTACTAATTATATGTTTATTCCTGCTTTAAATATCACTTCCTCTATGGAGTCATTCAAGGTTTTCCTCCTGCACCTCAAACCCCCTGGGCAGAATCAGCCATTTCCTTCACTGTCAGAGCACACTGAATTACCCTCTGATTTGAACATCATACAACATCAGACTCTGAGCCACCCTCTCAATCTAGACGGAGCTCTGAGGGCAATTTCGACGTGGGGGTGGGCTATGGTGATAAGAATATGGTAATATTTTTCTCACACTCCTTTTGTATAGCAAGCATACTTGCACCAATTAAAATAGCAGTACTGAGTACCGAGGCCTAGCCATCTTTTTAAATCATCCACTACGTTCATAGCTGTGCTTTAATCAACCCTACTGCTCTAACCTTAAAGAACACTATGTGATGATATGGCTACCCTAGGTATCACACCCAGTAGAGGCGGGGACAAGAAGTTTGGTCCTGCAATATAGTGATTTCTCTTCATGAGTAAAGCACCGTTTGTCAGACTTTCAGTTTTTGTACTTAAAAGTTACTTATGTTTCCAAATATCTCCTTATCCTTCTTTGCCTTCTCCTTGACTGGTCTACACACATGGAAAAGAATTAAGTATTGATGAGATACTAGATAGTTAGATTATATTTTTGACACAAATGCAATCATCAAGCAAACAGTTGTTGCATCTCACGACTAAAACTCAGGGTCACTCCAGGTGAACTGGGCTGCAAGAAATGACCACACAGAGACACAGAAATACCTTTTTCTTTGAGTCCTGTGACAGCTCCTCCAACCTGAGGGGTCCATGGAAAGAGACAGGCTGAACCCTTTTGTTGGGAAGAAGCACATTCAAATGAGGCAGGGGTCAGGTTTCACAGGGTTGAGTCTAGCTTTTTCGTGAAGTCAGCTGTCAACAGATTGACTGTCACCTAGGGAGGCCATGCCCATCTCATGAGCTGTGTGGAGGTCACGGCAGAGCAAGCGAAAAGACCAGGGTGAGGCCCACCCAAACAGAGGGGCAAGGTCGGTTCAGTCCACTTTGTGTGCTCAGTGCCCACAGTTCACACACACAGCCCAGGGCTGGCTTGCCACATCTTCACATTCTCATCACTCAAGGACAAGGGGCACTCAGTTCCTATGTGGCAAACAGCCTTATCAAGTCTTGTTATAAAACTGACCTAGGTTCACACCACCTCCATTCTCAACTTTAATGAGAGCCCTCTGATGTAGGATGAGTGTAACAGAGGAAGCCATGGTGCCTCCCTGTCACTTCCAGACTGGGTCCACCATCCAAAGCATGAGACAATGTTCAGCTTTATTATTGATTCAAATATAATACAAATTATGTTTCTTGACTGTGAGGTATGAATTATAATTATTTGGATAGAAATGGAAAGTTTTATTATTGAATAGGCACATTTCAAATATCTACAATTCGTACTCCGGGTCATGTGTTCTGGTAGAATGAGATAGAGGAGAGATAAGAAATACACAGATTACATGGGACTGCAAGTTGGTGCAACCAATCTGGAAAGCAGAATGGAGATTCATTAGAAACTTTGGGATGGAACTATCATTTGACCCAGCCAACCCATTCCTTGTTCTATACCCAAAGGACTTAAAAACAGCATGCTACAGTGATGCAGCCACAACAATATTCATAGCAGCACAATTCATATTAGCCAAACTGTTAAACCAACCTTCAATAGGTTTAACAGATGCCCTTCAATAGATGAATGGATAAAGAAATTGTGGTATATATACATAATGGAATATTACTCAGCAATTAGAAAGAATAAAATTATGGCATTTGCAGGTAAATGGGTGGAATTAGAGAATATCATGCTAAACGAAGTAAGCCAATTCCAAAAAACCAAAAGTCGAATGTTTTCTCTGATAAGTAGAATGAGACAAACATCATTACCCTAGGTACATGTATGAATGCACAAATGATGTGACCCTACTTTGGGTACAACCAGAGAAGTCAAAAATTGTGCTCCATTTGTATACAATGATTCGAAAAGCATTCTGCAACCATGTATAACCATTTAAATGAAAGAAAGAATGAACGAATGAAAGAATGAATGAATGAATGAATGAATGAAAGGAGGGAAGGAAGAAGGAAGAAATATATAGATTACAAACAACTGATTAAGAGGAGGCTCTGGGGAATGAAATTGGCCCAGTTATGCTGAGTGAATGTATGGATATGTAGCAGTCGATCATCTGACTAACATTATAACTCTAAACTATAAACCAATAAAACTGTTAAAAATGAATTATTTTTTTAAAAAAAAACCTAAAGACAACCAATTAAAGAAGGAAGATAATTTTTAAGGTTTTTTCCTACTATTCTGAAAAATAGTATAAAATATTTTAAAGGAGAATTTCAACTTTTTAATAACCTTTTTGCTCTTGTTCATATTTTGAGACAGGATCTCACCATGTTGTCCAGGCTGGTCTCCAACTCCTGGGCTCACACCATCCTCCCATCTCATCCTCCCAAGTAGCAGGGTCTCCAGGCATGTGCATCACTCCAGACTGAATTTTTAAAATTAGCTCTACCCTTATACTTGAATGAACAAGCCAAGTTTCCCTGCTGGGAGGGGAACCATGTTGAGTCAGGTCTCCTCAGCGCAGCCTGTGTTTGCGGAAACAGCAATAGCCATGTCAGTTGACATCTTTTATGGGTTCAGGTTGGGCTAGGTGTGTTTTCAGCCTTTTCATTTGATTTGATCTGGACGACAACTCCACAAAAGAGTTTTATTCCCATTTTTCAGGTGAGAAAGCTGAGGTAATGAGAAGTTAACACACTGATCTACAGAAAGGGAGCCAGATATGGGGACCTGTGAGCCCCTGATCAGCCTGGAAGGGTTGGCAAGCCACACAAAGTGTTTGCAGAGAATGGACACACTTTGGACTGCATTTTGCTGTGAATGACTTAGATCATTCTGCAAAATCAGTTTGCTTTTATTTCCCCCAACCTGACTTTAGTTGGTGGGGCAGGATAAGCATTTATTGTCATTTAGATCCTATTGGGCCAGACCTCTCTAACCAGAACAACCCCCACTTTTCTTTCATGCCTTGCAGTCAGAGGGTCCCGTAGCCAAGGTGGGCTTCCCCCCCTTCTTTTGCATCCTTTTGCTATTTAGCTGTCTGCTAAACAGAGCCTTGTCCTCCTGTATGGAAAATAAAACCAGCCAAGCAAGGCAATTTCATGCTGCAAAGGGTTTAAAATTGATTCCAAAAGCCAGCTGTTTTCAACCCACAGATAAAGAGGTTTTTTGTTCCTGACTCAGTATCAAAAGAAGGCTCCTGAAACAGTGAATCTTCAAAAGAAAAGATTGTCTGAAAATATTAAATGTTGTGAGGCACTGCCAGCTCTAATCTCTCCCTTTCTTCTCCCCCACAGACTTTCAGAAAGTGTTGGTATCCTACATTGGATTAAAGGGTCTTTATTTCATGGGCTATTTGCTCTTTGGCCTGGGGACAGGCTTCATAGGACTCTTTCCCAATGTCTATTCTACGCTGGTCCTCTGTGCCTTGTTTGGGGTAATGTCCAGCACCCTGTACACGGTACCGTTTAACCTCATCGCTGAGTACCACCGAGAGGAGGAGAAGGAGGTATGTCCTGATTGACACTCTGCCCTAGGGAACACTGGGACTCCCGTGAAGACTGGGGCTGGGTGGGGGATTTAGTAGGAAAGTGCAAAGCAGAATTGAAAGACAAGGGTTCTTGAAACAGCAGCACTTAACATGCCTGATCAGTCACAACCACACAGGGCCCCTTCCGCCTTACCCTGAACCCTTACCCTGGTGCAGCTGGTAAGCTGTGGAATGAGGACCATCACTTTCATTTCTCTAGTTAGGAAACGGGGGCTTAGTGATGCCAAGAAACCAGTCCACAATCACAAAGAGCCAAGAAAGGAGGACCCCAGATCTTCTACAGCCACCCTTCAGGTCTTCCCAGGATGCCTGTAGCATTTCTGGTGACCACAGTGAGGGTCTCTCTGCCCCCAAGCACTACAGAAATACAGGGTGGCATTTCTGGGACTTGGGAATTGTGAGTAGGAAATTCCAAGGCTTGTCTTTGGGAGTCCAGACTTTAGGAAGTGTGCATGGAAGAAGGTTGGAGCCATGAGTGATACCCTGAGAGAGGTGCCAGCTCCATCTAGGGTTCAGAACTCAGACTACAGAGCAAGACCTGGGCAGTCCTTATAAGGACATTGAGTTGGGTGTTTCTGCTCTAAAATTACCACCATCTCTTTGTATCAAATGTGCAACTTTTCTTCCATGCAAATAGGCTTAAACTTCCTTAACTGGAGCAGTGATGTAAAAGCTAAGGAGATAACTGAATCCAATCCATCTCAGCATGAAATTGCAAAAATACTGAACACGCATCCATAAATGGCAACATTTATCAATTCAGACCAAACACAAATCCAACAATTATGTTAAACAAATAGCTATATACTGAAGGGTTGAGTTGATTTTGATGTTGCTTCCCCTAAGTATGTGAATGATTAGACATCATTCTGAAAATGTTTGCATTTTTAACATGAGGGGAGAAAAAGACTGGGAGTTAGTCTTTATTTATGGAGTCCCCACTACATTGTATGACTTCTGAGGAAGAGATGATTTTGCCTATATTAGGCACTCATCCCTCTTATGTGTTAACAGTGGAATTATAACCTTTGTGACAGGTAAGGAGGATAGCATCAGATAGGAGGGTGGAGCTTCCTTGTGGCCTGAAATCAGGGGTTAGCAAATTAGCACCTGATGGCCTAAAGGTGGCCTGCTACCTGTTTTTGTACAGTCTCTAAGCTAAGAATTCCTTTCAGATTTTTAAATGGTTCAAGAAAAATCCCAAAGAAGGCTAGTGTTTTATGACATGTGAAAATGACATGAAAGTGAAAACTGAGTGCAGATAAAGAAACTCAGACTGAAAACTAATGTCTGTAAAGTTATGTTAGGATGTAGTTTGTTTACGGAGGTAGCTGCTTTTGCACTGTAATACCAAAACTGGGTATTTATGGCCAGGACCTTATGACTCACAGAGGCATGTGGTTCCTTATGGAGAAAATTTGCAGACCTCAGCACAGTGACAGCTCCTTGAAGATCAAACACCGTTCCTGTGCTTCTCCTTGCAGATGCAGGCCCCTGGAGCAGGCCCAGACAGCAATGGGCGGGGGAAGGGCGTGGACTGTGCGGCCCTCACCTGTATGGTGCAGCTGGCTCAGATCCTGGTCGGAGGTGGCCTTGGATTTCTGGTCAACACTGCTGGGAGTGTCATCGTCGTGGTGATTACGGCCTCTGCAGTAGCACTGATTGGCTGTTGCTTTGTGGCTCTCTTTGTTAGATATGTGGATTAAGTCAATAAAGACACATGGTGGATTAAGTCAATAAAGAGACATCGACCCTAACCTCAGACAAGTGCAGCACATGGAAGGAAGTCTTTTTTTTTTTTTTTTTTTTGTGGCTCTGCATGTTTGGGGTCTGCCATTGGATTCTCTGTGTTGTGATTTCTGCTGGAGTCATCTGCCCACTCCTCGTGTTTCACAAATCCCCTGCACAACCATCCCTGTGTTTCAGGCATCTTTTGTCTGGGTTATACCTCTGTGCACTGATGGCAAGGATAAGTGTGGTTGGGAGCACCTGCCATGCTCACCTTCCTCACTGCATGTCAGTGCAAGGGGTGGTGGGGCAGGGTCCGTTTTCCACCTGGCATGTTAGGCTGGGATGAAACCCAGGAAGACATACTTGCTCACAGATCTGCCTACGATGAGTAGATTCATTCTAGAATACAATTTTTTAAAACAGTGGTCTATGTACGGTTGGGGATATTTCATCAAACCAAAAATACTCAAAATATCGCTGGTGATTTCTTTCATGGTATTGAGTTATTCATATTTAATTTGCTCATAATTAATTCCCATTGATTTATGACATCCCTAACAACTCTGCCTGAACATCTCATTCTGGAAGATTTTTCACTTTTAAACAGTTCATTGAATTACACAGTAAAAACATTTTTCTTTGGTCTGTGCCCTTGTTTCATCCTGTGGAGTGGATATGAAACTCGGCCATGGCTCTCAGCAGGTTCTTCTATGATCTTCTCTCCCCCAAGCTAAGCAGTTTTTCTCTAGCCATACCCCTTCAATTGCCTCCCGTGTGGTGAAGTTTGAGTAGCCTGGAGAGACAGCATTGTTTAATAGGAACACTACGAACTATGGGATATGGTTGTTTTTGAATCTTGATTTTGCTACTCCTTGGCAAACTATTTAACTTGCCTAAAATACACTTGCTCATCTATACATTTGGGATAATAATTGCTGTCTCAGAGATTGTGATGATTAATCATGTATACAATACCACATACAGGGTACTTATCATTATCCTATTTTACCCTATTAACCCAGTAACCCTGAGACTGGGTATCATTACTGATCTTCATTTTGTAGATAAAGAAACTCAGACTGAAAACTGAGTCATTTGTGGTGGCACATGCCTGTAATCCCAGGAGCTTATGAGGTTGAGGCAGGGGGATCACAAGTTCAAAGATATTCTCAACAACTGAGCAAGGCCCTAAGCAATTTAGTGAGACCCTAAAATAAATAAAAAGGGCTGGGGATATGGCTTAGTGGTAAAAGTGGTTAAGCATCCCTGGATTAAATTCCTGGAACCAAAAAAAAAAAGAACACTCAGGCAAAAAAGGTATTTTGTAAATCACCTGAAGCCACACAACTCATGAGTGGCAGTACAGTCCGTTTCCATAAAATAGGCATGCAGCCTGGTGGCTGGTACTGTTCAGGGTTCAATGAATGGTATCTAGCTCTAATCAATGCAGCTAAGGGCACATCATCCTATCCCCCCATCCCTATGCTTGCTCCTGTCTTTCTTAACTGCCTACCTACACAACTCCCAATGTGCCTGACCAGTACAGAATAGAGAATTTTCAACCCACCCTAAGAAGTTACAAAGATTACATGCTTCCTCTCCCACTTCTCCCTGAAACAATCATTGCTCCAGGTGAATTTCAATTGAATTCCTTTTGGGCTGAAAAGAAATTTATAGAAAGGAAATGAGTCTTTAAGAACTGGGACATTGGGATTTGGGTGCTGCTTTTGCCTGTCTCATGCATAGTAGAATGGATGGCTTCAATAGCATGTCCAAGACTGTGGACTGTTGACTCATTGGAGGCAGCAATCCAAAGAGAGGGAGCATGCTCTGGTTGGTTTTGGTAGGCACTGGTTCCTCTTTCACACAAATGTAGGGGGTGTGAGTGGTATGGACCTACTCCTAACACTGGCAAGAGCCAGAACAAAAAGATAAATTGAAGCCCAAGGTCCACAGCCCATTAGTTCTCCCTCCTCTTCTCCCTTCTTGCTTCCTCCTCCTTCCACTTTGCACAGCATGTAAGAGTTCTTGTGTGCACCTGGCGTTAGCACATCCCTAGCCATCCTCACTCCCCCACCCTCCATCACCCATACAAACAGCCACCCCTCAGCCTCCCCTCCCTCCTAAGGGTGCATAAACTCAGCAGTGTGCTCTGTCTCTGGAGGATGAACTCAGCAAAGGTCCACCAACGCCTTGTAAATAGACTCAGAGACATCTGGATGGGGAGTCACGGGGTCTTAGGTGCTGGAAAATAACCTAGAAGTGGGGGCACTCCTTGCCCTTCAGAGGGGCATGGCTGGAGGGTTAGGGGCAGAATAGGGTTCTCTAATGATGAAACACAGACCCTGGTTGCTTAGATCGAAGTGCAGTACCAGAGACGACCAGCCTAAGAGTGAGCCCTTCGTCATTCTGTGTGGCAGTGCCCTGTCCCTTCCCAATTTTTCCAATAATCTCAAAATGCACATGAATCCCTGATAAAACAAACTTACTCTCTTCTTCCTGCTACTGCTAGGACTTCCACCCTGCTGCTGCAGTTCTCCTGATTGCCTCCTTTTTGTTTAAAGAGCCTGCCCTCTGCTGTTTCTCAGCTATCATACTTGTCGTTGGAGCAAAATGTCTGGAGCACCCCCTGCTCCATATGACTCTGGCCATTTTAGATGTGTGTCTGTCCGTGCGCACACTCGTGCAGTTGACAAGAAGTGGAGGGCAGGGGGCTTGCAGTGAAACAACTGCTCCTTCCTGCCTACAGCTCAGCCCCCTCACCTGTAGGACTTGCAGCTTCCTTATCTGAAGTTAGGTGCCCCAGGTTCTGCACTCATCCCATTCTCTCCAGATCCCTGGTGCTTTCCATACTAGGTGGCTGTATTACCACATCTCACTTATCAGCCTCCAAGCCTTGCTCAGTTTTCTCTAAATGTGTGCTGCTCATCTTCTACCCCTTCATCAGGCGCCCCATTCCCACATTCAATGAACACAGTCACTCTCAAATGAAGTCACCTAATTCTTTTTAGGGGGCACATATAAAACCACCCTCAACTATTCCAATCTTCCTCCCCACATATCTATCATCCATCCTGGAGAAAGGAGGTCATTACTGACTTAGAAACGTGATTAGAGAAAGCACCTGCTCCCTATCCCATAGCATGGAACAATTATGGGCAAGTGCTCAGAGGACACATGTCAAACATGTCAGCATTACAAACAGTATCAAGACGCCTCTCTTGCCTTCCTTACATTTTACTGGCCTCTGGAAAGTTTAAGTTAAAAAATCTTCAGGGTACCGTGTATTCCTTGACTATTTCTTCAAGGACTTTTCTGGCATTTTAAAGATTTGGAGACAAATGGATGGGCAAGCTGGGAATATGGCCTGTAGCCAAGAGTCATTTTACCTGGACCCTTAAAGAAATGAAACGTAGCCAGCACTACCCAACCATAGGGCAGGGTTTTGATTACAAGTGAAGTTACTAGATCAAACCTCAATGTTTGGAACATTAGATAGGCTATTGGGCTGAGGAATGGAGCCATAGCAGATGCTGGTATTCTCCCTGTCTCCTTCTCTCTTTCTCTGTCTTACACACACACACACACACACACACACACACACACACACACACACACACAATTTTGAAATTTTATTCATTAAACTCAAATCCATCAAGGTTTGAATTAGTGGATAGAAGCCAATTTTAAAAAGTCTTTAATCCTTGGGAACCCAAGTATTTATTCTCAATATACTGATGACATGATCTAGCCAAAAAATAATTCTCTTCCCAAGCAAATACATGCCCAGAGACATATATTTTAAATAGAGATCCCAGGAAGTATCATAGGAGAAAGGGAAGCTACACTGCTTTGCTACCTGCTTTGCTACCTAATCCATCATCTGACATTTTGACCTTGAATTCTTTAGTCACCACTCTTCCTCAGCCTCACATGTCCCATCTACCTTCTCTAACCTCCCCCTCATTCTGCCTAAATTTTTTATACCCATATTTCCAGGCCCATCTCAAATACTATTTTGACCAAGAAGTCTCTGGCCCTCCCCTCCTTTTCCCTCTGCACTTTATTTTAGCCTTACAGTGACCTCCAATTAATTTGCCCTGTCTTATATCATATCACTGGCTGTCTGTCCTTCTGAATGTAGAAGTCAGAAATGTGTCTGTTCAGGTGCATGAGCTCAGCCCCCAACACAGAGTCTTGTACAAAATAGGCATACAAAGGGTCACTGTAGATTTCAATGGATTTGACCACTTCCTTGTCCACTCTTGTGTCCTTATGTGGAAAGAAGTCATGGTCTTTGGTTCCTTCTGCCATTTTCTTAGAAGCCTTAAGCTTTGGGTTTGGACAGGTGACAGTGGTTACAGAATTTTTCATGAAGACCTTGCCCTCTCGTCCTTTTTCTTCTCTTTTTCTAGTCTCCACAGCAGTAGAAGCACACTCTTTAATGTACTTTCCTGAGAATTATAAGTTACCCACACATAATTTTATTGTCAAAACTATAATATTAAGTTACTATAATAAGAATCTTTCAGTAAGAGTCTAAAATCAGTGTTGTGCATGTCTATACTACTATTTATTATTTCCTACATTGATTTTTCCCTATATTTGTATTTTAGAGATGAAGAGAGCTTCTGTTTCAACCTTTTTAGCTTCTGTTTCAACCTTTTTAGCCTGATTACTACTATTATTGATAGATTCTTTTTTTTCCTAAAGAACAAAGTTTTATTTAATTGCTTTGAAACAGAAGAACCATTCTGTATTCAAAAAGAGTTAACTTCGTAATACTTCTTAGAATTGAAATGGGCAGTTTTGGTTTTTGTGGCAAAGTATATGAATGTTTAGCAATTCCACTGTGTTGTGTTACAGAAAGTGGGACAAGGGATGATCTCACATTTTAAGCCTTAAATTTCAGACACTATAGGAATTTTTCAACAAAATTATAAACACTTCCACAGTTGAAGAGGCTATTTAAACAGACATGTTTTTCTAATGATTATTTATTGTATTAGAATGACCATCCCAGGAGGTGCTTGCATTAACAGCTTCTTGATCCCAAAACAACTTGCCAAAGAGAACAGTAGCACCTCTATCAGTCCCAGCAGATGGGCAGGTAGACTGATGCTTGATTTCAATTCTCAGAATAGCCTCAAGAAAGGACACTGTGAGGATTTTAGCATCTTAAACTGCTACAATAACAGAGTTGCCATGAGCAACAAAAGTTGCTCCTCAGAGACAGCCCCACTGACTGTCTGGAAGTTGAGAAAGAATTTATCATGCATGCTCAATGAGCAATACACTCTTTAAAATAAATACACGTTGTTAAGGTTATCTCCTATATCTTACCTTCCCATGTGAATGCTGTGAGCAATAAATAATCTCACACCTGAAGTTATGACAAGCCCCTCAGAGCAGCCTCTTCAATCCACTTGTTCCTTTAGGATAAAGATTTTACTTTGGTCTTCCATTCTCGTTCCCATCCCACGCATTCTCTTGAATGATCCAACACCAGCTTCTAGGAATATAGCATCTGGTCTGCAGTAAGCCCTGCACATTTCTACAGCATTTCTTGCTCTTTTAATCCAACATGAAATCTGAATCATCCCTCTACTTCCTGATCCAGAGTCTCCATCAATGTGGCATTCCAATTCCCAGAGTGAGGAAGGAAGGGCTGTAGAACCCTCCCCTCAACCCTAGATACCAGGAGGGCTTTTCAAGATGCTCCTGAGTCCAGCTCACCTGCAGTGACTGACTAGAGAGAATGGTGTCTCCAGGAACCCAGAATGTTCTCCAGAGAAACTAGAGCACCCAGGGAATTAGGCTTTCCAGGGAATGCTAAATTTGAGTTCCCTTTTTCCTTCAGGTCTGTAGACGAAATAAATTTCCCTTTTCAGCTCTTCCAGTTGCACTGCTGTTTCCCACAGAGCAAAGATCCACTCTCCAGTGGATCTTTCATCTAAACTGAGGACAGGTGTTTTGCCCCTAGTGACAGCTGATCACAGAAGTCAGGCCCTTCCAGCAAGGCTCAGCTTGAGCCTGCTTGCTCTGTCTGGCTGCCCTGGAGTGCCTTTCCCTCACCATTTCTCCTGGGAAGGGTCAACAGGGTCACTCGATTTCCTCAACTCCGAGAAGGTTTCTTTCCCCAAACTCAAGGCTCCCAGGGCAGCCACACAGCAAGTAAGCCTTTGCAGTCTCAAGAGTCAAAGCTCAAAACAAAGGTTTCCTGGATGGCTCTCCTGGCTACATGCACCTTAAGGACCCCATCAAGAATGTCATAAAATAGCTGAAATAAGGGCCCAGTTGTTCGCACATGATTTGGCTGATCCTCACTCCCTTTTGCCCCAATTTCTCTACTTCCTTGCTGCCTCTCTACTTCTGGGCACCCACACCCTGTACAACGTGAGCAGCATTAGGAGAGGACTCTGCATTGGGGTAGGAGGGTCAGCCAAGCCTCGAGCTCCGGTCCAGAGGGCTGATCTTCACTCCTTTGCCTACTTCCTTTCTTCACCTGATTTCACATTTCTCCACAGAAGTGCCTCCAGCTTTTTCACTGGCCGCTGCTCCATAGGTCTCCACATCCCTTTCCCACCTAATTCTTGATTCAGAGTCCCTCCGCTTTTCCTCCAGTAAGCGATTCCCTTGCTTCCCTGCCCCCAAGGCAGCCTTGCTGTTCCACGTGTACCACGAGTCTTAGTCCACATCAGTAGGCTGAGCTGCTGGGCAGCAGGTCGTAGCGTCCCCCACTGTAGACCACTACACCAGGCGGATAGTAGAGCACGTCAGGTTCAGCAGCTGCGTGGAGTGGCGCCAGAGCCTGCAGCCGGTGATCCTCTGGCTCTGGCTTAGTGGTAGCTGTGAAAGGGCGCATGCTGGTGAGCGAAGGCGACGTGATACACCACAGCAGGTTCTTGAGCGCCTTGCGGAACTCGCGGCGCACTAGGCAGTAGAGTATTGGGTTGAGGCAGCTGTTGGAATGCGCTAGACACACGCTCACCGGGAACGCGTACACCTGGCACAAGAAATACTCCTGGCTGAAGGGTACCGCGTTGAACTTGATGAGGATACTCCATGTGGTGAGCGCCTGGTTAGGCAGCCAACACAGAAAGAAAGATAAGACCACGATGGTCACTGATTTGGTGACCTTGGACCGTCTCCTAGCGCTAGCTCCAGACAGGCTTCCCCCAGCAGCTGCTATCCCTACTTCGGTCCCCACCACGCAGCGGTCTGAGATGAAGCGCACCAGCAGCAGGTAGCACAGGCTGATGATGCCTAGGGGCAGCACAAAGCCTACCAGCACTTTCTGCAAATGGTACAGGCCAAGCCAGAACTGCCTGTCGCCACCCAGCAACTTGTCAGGGAAGCGCACGAGGCACAGCTCCTCACCCATCACCTTGATGGTGGTGGAGAAAATGGCATTGGGCAGCGAGGCCAGAGCAGCCGAAGCCCAGATCAACACACACAGAGCTTTGGCTGAGAAGCAGCAGCTCTCTCCCAGGCTCTGGCCACAACAGTTGCCATGGCCGTGCCCTCGGGTCCGGTGGCTCTTAAGGGATGATGCCACAGAATGGTAGCGCGCCACACTCATGGCAGTGAGGAAGAAGACGCTGGCATACATGTTCATAGAGGTGACAATAGACACGATCTTACACATGGCCTTACCGAAGGGCCACTTGAAGTCCAGCGCGTTCTCCACCGCCCAGAAGGGCAGAGTGAGCACGAATTGAAAGTCCGTCAGCGCCAGGTTGGTAACGAAGAGGTTGATTGAGGATTTGCGCCAGCCCTGTTTGCTCTTCATCAGGTAGAGGACAAGGAGGTTGCCCGCCAGCCCCAGTGCGCAAACCACCCAGTACACCGCACTGATGAGGATCCGCACCCGGGCCTCTGCATCCGAACTCTCTGCCCCACTGCTGCTGGGTGGATACCCCGGCGCCGCTCCGTCCGGCAACTCCAGCCCCAGCTCCCACAAATCCTGAAGCTGCAGCGAGGCGTTGCCACTCCTGTTGGCCGCCTCCAGGAGGCCTGGGATCAGACTGAAGAGTTCCGCGAGCTGGTCACCTCCAGCCGCCTTATTCATGGTGGCTGTCGTGATTGTTTCAACCACCTGTATGAGCAGATACCCCTAGTTCATATTCCGGTGCATAAGAACTAAGGAAGCACAGTTCGCCCGTGGTGTGATCCCCAGGAGAACAGGCGAGGTGTGCGCGGGAGCTTTCAAAATAGCCGCTGAAGATAGATAGAGCCTACGAACTGGTTGCGGATGGCGTCCGGTGCGCGCGACAAGCAGCTCTGGGCACAGGAGTTGAGCTCAGCGTCTGCTTTAGATGCTCCAAAAAGGAACGCAGCTCTCCAGGAAAGCGACCTGCGTCCAAGGTTTCTCGGTCTAAAGTTGGAGTTTCCCGAGTCCCTAGTACGCACCTAAGACTTTCCTCCTCCTTTGCCACTATCACTTGGGCACTGGCGCAAAACCCTTCTGGCTGCTCAGGAGCGCGATTCCGGGCCGGTTCCTTTTCTTTCCAGTACCTTTGTTGGTTTTCTCTACTGCTCGGACGAGGTTTCCGTCCTTTTAAGGAAAAGTAGAGAACGTGAAGTCACGTCTACCTCCCTCTTACTGCTTGGAGGTCTGTAGGTGTTGTACCCGCTATCGGTAATTCCCAGAGAGTTACCAGAGTTGCTTACCCGAGTTATATTCGCACCCACAAAGCCGCGGCAGCCGGCCCCAAGGAGCATGCGTAACCCCCTACGCCAAGAGAGGGGGCGCTTTCCGAGGTGCTGAACCCCGCCGCGCGTGCGGCCGGGGAGGAGGAGGGACCAGCCAAAGGAGGAGGCTACTGGCAACTTCCCTTTTGCTCTTAAAGTTTCAGAAGGAAATGGTCCTAACCCTTTATTTCGCTGCGTTGCGAGAACGCCCATTTTAATTTGTTTCTTCCTCCTAATCAACTATGATCAGAAGTTTTTTTTCTTCCTTCTTGATCACTCTGCTTTTTCACTGAAATTATCCCATTTGATGAAGGCTGGTTCTAAAAATGTGCTGTCTCTTGCCTACTTCCCTTTTAAAAGTAAGGATAGTGATCTCTTTTCATGCCTAAATCAGAATGAATACTGAATGCACAGAACAAGCTCCGCCCTTCTTTAATTAGCTGACCACTTATCTGTGACAGGATTTTCAAAGGGTCTTCATCAAGAGGAAATCAGGCACAAGTGTTGCCCGTACTTTGGTGTATTCTGAGAAATGAAGCTAAACTGAGCCTATAATTGGTTGCCGACTTCATGTATTTTAAAATACCACCTGTCTAGCCCTGAGTCAGAAACTCCTCCACTAATTGGTCACACATGCCTCCAACTCCTTTTATCTAGATGCAGATGAGATAGGGGATAATCTCGAGTTGATTGTGGGCCATTCACTTCCCTATTTCCACTACTGTTAAAATCACAACTCTTTATCAGATGTTTTTCAGACCAATGGCAGTGAGTTTCTTCTCAAGTTGTGATTCATTGAAATATCAGGTCAACTGCTCTGATGTGAATTATACTTTTAAGAAAAGACTCAAAGAATTTGAAATGCTTTCTTCACCTTCAGGAATTAAACTGAAATCAAAGTATCTTAAGCATGCAGCAATTGTCTTCATTCCTAAAGTAATGCAGAACTCCAGACTTTGTTTACAAGATTAAATAATTTTAAAGCCGAGGAGTTTTAAAAGAATGCTTAGTGAAACAGAAACGCAATACGCAAAACAGGAAAGGAAACAATCTTGACTCCAAAGCCAGAATGAAGTTCTTTCCAAGAGAACGCACTTCACTCTAAATGCTGACTGCTCTGGTCTTTCCTCGAGAGGGCGCCAGGGCTCCAGTAAAAACCAAACCAAACAGCCTCCTTTTGATCATCTTGTATCTGAAGATGAGCCCTGCCCTGATTAATCCTCCCAATCCAAGAGTTGCTTCTGCTCACACCTCTTATCCCTGTGCTAAAAGCCTCACCTTCACTTTCACTTTTTTATTTTTTATTTTTTTAAAGAGAGAGAGAGAGAGAGAGAGAGAGAGAGAGAGAGAGAGAGAGAGAATTTTAATATTTATTTTTTAGTTTTTGGCGGACACATCTTTGTTTGTATGTGGTGCTGAGGATCGAACCCTGGCCCCACGCATGCCAGGCGAGTGTGCTACCGCTTGAGCCACATCCCCAGTCCAACTTTCACTTTTTTAAAATTAATTATTTCTCCATCAAAATTTATCTCTTTGGCTCAGTGAGTTGTGACTTAGTGGTGGAGCACTAGCCTAGCACATGAGACACTGGGTTTTATCCTCAGCACTGCATAAAAATAAATAAATAAAATAAAGGTATTGTGACCATAAAAAAATTGTCTCTCTCTCTCTCTATATATATATTTTTGTATTCCAATGAGCTATTGAAAATCAAGGAAGCCTAGGGCTCACACAGACAGCCATTTATCTGTGGGATTTCACCAATGTTCCCTAACTCCCTCACATACTATTTCATTCTTTCAGTGCTTCTAGCCCCATCCCAGAACATATATACTTGATCTTCCTGAAATCACATGAAGTATTCACACTTTGTGAAGAATATTACAGGAAGTTGATTCAATTCATCTCAAACTTGCTGGCCAATTAGCTTGGCACTAAGGTAGGCTGAGAGAAACATTATGACATAAATCCTCTATTTTGATCCTTTCTGGAACTGTTCATCTAAATGAGTATGCAATTTAGTAGTGTCTGTGACTCTTTTTTGTTTAGTCTTGCATATGACTTAGGTATCTAGAATGTAATGCTTTGTGTCAGATGCATGGACAATAATTTTAGTTACTTCACTTTCCCCTTTTGTTTTTAAGGAGTGGGTTTTTAATAAGTAGTTATATTGTACTTAGATTGGCTGTTCCAGTTTTAGATTTGTTTGTTTGCTTTTATATCAAGGCTACTCTATGTTTGTATTTGAGAAAAACATAAAGACAGAAGCATTCAGGGTTTGTTATGTTGCAAACAGTCTGTTTTTCTGTAATACTTCTTCCTGAAATTGACATTAGAATGTAACAGGAACTGGAGAAAAATCTTGTTAGCAACAAAAAGCTCTTTATCATTCATAGTGGAAGGATGGAGTCTTGGAACCTTTTCCTAGGCTGCTTTGAATATCTGAAGCCACATGGCCATGTGAAGTTAGGAGTGAGGACAGCGTAAAAGCATACTCAAGCGTATAACTGCTGGGAACCCATCATCATAGAATGTAGGAAACCATAGGCTTGAGCCCTGGCATTTTGCAGAGGAGGCCTGAAGAGATGAAGGGATTTACTCAGCATCTCACTGCTAGGAAGTAATCACACTAGGTCTAAACCATATATTTCTTGACTCTCATGTGACATCTTTTGGTCCATGCTTTATTTTCCAACTTGGCTCTAACACTTTTATAATTTTCAACACAGGAGTGGATGATGTGCTGAATAATGGCTTCCAACATGTCCATATTCTAATCCCTGGGTCCTTTGGATATTTCTTTACATAGACCAAAGAGTTTTTCAGTGTGATTAAAATAAAGTTCTTGAGGTGTGGAATATGGTCATGGGTTGTGCATATGGGCCCCATACATTCACAAAAAGTTCATATAAGAGGGAGGCAAGAGGAATCAGAGGAGAAGGTAGTGTGATACAGAAGCAGAGACTGGAGTGATACTCTTTGAAGATGTAAGATAACAAGCCAAGAATACAGGTAGCCATTGGAAACTGACAAAAGCAAAGAGATGAGTCTCCCCTGGACCCTCAAGAAATAATCTGCTCTGATGACACGCTGACTTTATTCCATTGAAACTGAGCTGAGGGCTGGGGATGTGGCTCAAGCGGTAGCGCGCTCACCTGGCATGCGTGCGGCCCGGGTTTGAACCTCAGCACCACATACAAACAAAGATGTTGTGTCCACCGAAAACTGAAAAGTAAATATTAAAAAAAAAAAAATTCTCTCTCCTCTCTCTCTTAAAAAAAAAAAAGAAAAGAAACTGAGCTGAGATCTCTGATCCCTAGAACTGTGAGAGGATAAATTTGTCTTATTTTGAACCACTGCATATGGACTGATTTGTTACAGTAGCAATAGATAACCCATACAAGTACATAAAAGCCTGGTTTGAACATTATATAAGGAGAAATTAAACAATTCTGAATTAAACATGTTGCTTCATTTTGTTCACTCATTTAATACATAAATATTGAGCACCAACTTTGTGCTAGGTACCTCATTATGAACTAGAGGTTTATTGGTAAATGCCACTTACTGAAGCTTGCTTTCTAATAGGTGAGACAATATTTATGAGTTGTGTGTTTGTTATGGTTTGGATAAGATGTCTACCAAAACCTGTGTTACCATGGGGATGTTTGAAGGTGAAATGATGAGAGTTGTAACTGGGTGGTAGGCAGGGTGTGGTTGGTAGACCATGGGAGTAGGGGTGTCTCTAGGACTTATATTCTGTTCCTGGTGAGCAGAGCTTTCACTTTGCTTCCGGGTATGATGTTCTGAGCTGCTTTCCTGCACCATACCCTTCTGCCATGAGGTTCTGCCTCAGCTGAACATGGAATGAACCTCTGAAACCATGAACTAAAATAAATCTTCTCTATTTTGTTATGGTCAGGTATATTGGTCACAGCAACACAAAGCTGACTAAGTCATGGGAAATGGCTAGAGGAGGTGAATCACTGGAGCAGGTTCTGGAGAGGTGGTTTATCTTTTCTGTAGCCCCTTCCCCGCTTTCTCTTTCTACTTCTCAGCCACCATGATGTGAGCTATGCTCCTGTGCCTCGCCCTTCCATCATGACCATCTGCCTGACCTTGGCCCAGAGCAAGGGAGTCAGCTAACCATGGACTAAACCTCTGGGATGGTGAGCCACAATAAACGTTTCCTCCTCTAAGTTGTTCTTGCTGAGTACTTTGGTCATAGCCACAAAAAGTTGACTAACACATTGTTACAATAAGAGGGAAAACCATGTAAAATAGCAAGCTATAAAACCACGTACACGGAAGTAACTTCTCACTCTTTCTGATTATACTTATTTAATTCTAAGAATCACATATTTTCAAATTAAATGTTTAAAAATTATTATGGATTTCCAATTGCCATAGGTATAGTGTATGAGATTATTTTTCTCCCTAGAAAATTGTTAATAAATG